ATCACCATAGAAGCTGAGATTAAAGTGTGCCAGTGAGTGATGAGTGAATTGTTTCTCTTTCGTCCCATCGCGCTTTTGTTTTCTTGAACATCATGCCTCGCGTATGCGTGTGTGTGTGTGTGTGTGTTCGGTCTCCTCATTTTCTTCTTTGTCTTCTTTGATTAACGATCCAATTCGGAATCCGTCCCGACGGGGTTTGAACAAGCACTTGGTCCAGGTTGTTTCCATTCACTTATCTTTCGTGTTCCACTTATCGGTTGTCCTAATTATCGAATGTGTTTCCCTGGTAGGTGGCGTGTTTGCACCAGACATTTCACTGGCACAGTGATTTTCCAGGACGACCTAAGTTGCTCGGTTTTGCTCCCCNCCCCCCCCCCACCCCACTCCAATGTCTTGTATCGGAATCCACTTAAATGGGTTCGTCTCCATCGGCCTGAGTTTGTGTATGCGCGCGAACATTTAATTCCTGCTTTGCAGCTTCGCACTTTTTGGGGAAGTATTTGCACAAAAATGAATATCTGTTTTATTTTCTGACATTCTCAACGGGCAATTCGATGAATAGACGAGAGAAACCAATTGCATAATAGTAATTTTTATGGTGAAAATCCAGTTTTTTCCGAGGGCTGTCGATGGTAAAGTGTTATGTGTCCCATCAGTGCATCAGTCCTTTGGTTCGGTGTTCGACCCGAGGCGCCGTGACCACCGACGACACCCTTTTTTGCCATTATCAAAACCCTGCAGACGTACTTTCTGTTAAATGAGAACTACGTACAACTTGATAGCACTTAGGTAACCCTTTCGGGGCTAGTCAGTGATTTACCACTAAGGAAATGTTATCCCAATTGGAAATGATCATATCGATCGAATTCGATGGACATCTCAAACAAAGTGGACCACATGGTTAGGCTGTACGATCGAGCATCTACATTCGAAAGTAACCGGCAGACTGTGAATGAATAATCGATTTGTTTATCAACAAGGAACGTTGTGAAGACAATCATACTAGTCACCGACCCCGTATGCCTGTTCATCGATTTTTACGGAAATAAAATGATATTGCTTGTGACAGACGCTGCCGATACAACAGTAACAAAATGTTTGTACAAAGAATGCGTCAGATCATCAGGGGATGCGGGTGTTATGGAAAGTCCGTTCCAACTGTCATGTGATATGTAGCTTTGGATTAGTAAGTAAAACTCTTTTTGTATGTCGATTGTGAGAAGTTCAGTAGCCTCGGTGGGATTCGAACCTACGCATGGACGCCGCCTACGCTTTGTACGTGCATGCTCTACTAGCTGAGCTACGAGGTCCGAGAATCGAAGCCTGCTACCGCCATCAAGCTTTGGTGGTGGACAGCATTGCTCTCATCTTGTTCAATCGAACGCCTAAACTCGCGGGGGCTTACAGGGTTCACCACTCGCATTCTCGGGGCCTAGGTAATTGGCTCTTATCCATAAATAACGGGTCTTTTGAACTATAGAGTTCACCCCGTCTACAGTTCATCACACTAAAATTGGGTGTCCATTTAACTAATACTCGCAATGAAATTAAATTGTAGTGATTGGTTTGAGTTTATCAGAATATTTTCCTAGTCCCCGTGACACACTAAATCAATCAGCAAAAGGGACATGATCACTTGGGAAAAATGACGAACTTTCTCATCCAAACATCGTTATGTTGAACTATGGTGTGAGAAAAGCCACATGTTTGCGTATTCCGGGGTATTTTTGTCGCATTCTAATCCCAAACTATAATTTTGCCGGAATCAAAACAATTACGCCTGTTAGTCACTTCCCTTCTGATTGGTACCTGCGTGTTATATAAGAGGACATTTTATTGCCTATCACAGTTCAATTTAATAATTCGTCTAATTATAAATGATCAATACAATAAGTGTGAGTAAAAGTCCGGAGCTCCGTCAGAATGAAGACCCCTTGTGATCTTAACACAAAAAATTACCACCAATTCGTAAATGAATTGCTTTCTGACTGGTTACCATGCGGTAGAAATTCGCCCCTCTATACAAATGAAATCAACTTGCCCATTTGTGAACGTATTCACTCATTTCGAATCGCTCAAATAATTGCGAAACTACGACTACAAAAGCATCGTGTGTGCGTGCCCTTTTATTGAGTTCACATAAATCTTATTGAGAGTAACAGCAAGCGCGTTAGAAGCCAGAAGTGAATCCCTTATTCATTTTTTTACATTTTACGCATACCATTGTGTGGAGCAAAAAATTCAATTCTCACGATATTCTCAATGAGTTTGCTACCATTTTACAAGTCCAAGTGAATGATAACTAGAATAAAAAATTCATACTTATTTGGGATTAGGACGGCACTAGATAGTTGAACCAAATAATCAACAGTGAATATCTGCAGTTCAATGTGCCATCCAAGCATCCATACACTTGTGCAAACAAACTAGGCGAACCTAATGAGATAAGCATACATTGAACTGTCTCTTTTCTCTCTCAATTGCATATATCTGGGCAGTATTAAAGCTGATGAAATGCGCGCGACGATCCCCCTCATAAAAAAGGACCGAAATCACTTCATTAGTACTGTGTATCAATTTGGCGGTCTGTCCGCGTGTTACATTCGTTTCTCCTCACCCCATTCGATAATTTACTCGCCTATCCCGTTATGCACAGAATCATCTTTTTAGGGGATCTGTCCGACCGTATTTGCCTCGTCCCTTCTTGTCTAGCCTCGTTCTATGTCAAATTGCATTCATCATCAGGTGTTGCACTTCTAACATGGCGCAAACCAAGAACGACAAAACCCCGTGAAACACATACACACAGTCTATCTCTGTTTGAGTTCTCCTTCCTCACGTTTCACCTTCTATTGACCAAACTGATTCAAGCAAGGACGTTCGCTTTGGCATCCTGGGGATTATGGCTTTCTGCTCTAACTGTATTAACTTAACTAATTGGAATAGAATACGATACGCATATACTATTAACTGAGTAAGGCAATAAACATTCCGACAGTTGGGATAATTGCTTATGTATACATGTTTGATGTGACGTGCAGGAGTTCCACATCCGCTCACGGATCAAGTGAACTCTGGAACAGCAGTTCTCCACCGGGCGTTCTCCTAGGACACTGATTTGTGGGTGAAATATTCACGAAAATCCCCGAATAGATATATAACTGGAGAAAGGTAATGATACGGTTTTCCATCCGCTCTATCTGTTTTGTTTGGCAGAACGGGATATGACATCTTGATACAGTGATAAACGCATTTCGTATGCTGTTTGCTGGTGCTGGTGGACTCTTGTCCTTCAGGGGAAAACACAAAATCCTTCAACTGGTACGCGTTCTTTATGCAGACCCAAAAGTATCGAATATAATGCGCCGAGCCTCAACTCAATCTTCCATAACGTTGTCAGACATGCTTGAATGACGCTCGAGGTAATGTGCCTTCGTTAGAAAATAAGGCATTGAGTGTTTCCCATTTCGTCCAAGAAGACAACAATTCAAGTCAAGTCAAGTAAAAAATCCCTTTATTCATCCGAACAGATAGATTCCAGCTTCTTGCACTCCAGGAACATTTATCATCGCATAGAATTACAAAGAAAAAAGTGAAAAACAGCATTGTAAATTCAACGAAATGTGCCCCGTAAAAGTTTACTAACAGGTATGAATTTCGCAGGAAATTCTAACAGGTTTCCCTAACGGAATGCAATGGTACGAACATACATTCGGTTAAAGAATGGAATACTCATTGTTTAGGTTCTGTGTGTATTATGTGAGTAATGTGTGATAGAATATTGTTGCAGGGGTTATCTCAAGAGGTAAAATGTTTGTCGGCCATTAAGTTAAGCGAGTGTAAATAAGGAATACCGCTTGTGCGAGAAATAAATTTCATAGACCGGTGTAGAATTGTGCAATCTTTAACTCTAAGATCGGCAAATAAAACTGGGGGGGGGAGCAGTGGAGGTGATGAGTAACAACACAATAATACACAGATCGGGTGAGTAAATACAATGCAACTTTTAAAGAACACAAGCGAGACAAAAATAAACACACTTGTCGAATCTTTTTAAAAGTATAGTTTGGATGTGAATTCCAGGTGAGATCTTGGGAGATAGTGACACTGCGGTATTGCAGAGAATGTACTGGGGGAACAGGCTGATTGTCAATATAGAGTACGGAACACTTGCTTCCAGAAGAATGCTGCCGTTCCCCTTTGGTAACATCCCTACATTTGGAGGCATTGGGAGATAAATTGAAAGACAAAGACCATAAACTTAAGAGAGATAAACTGGTTTGAACCTGTGAGAAGCGGAAATCACCTTGGAATTGGGAACCTATGATGACACCATCAGCATACTTAATGAGAAAAAACATCTGGGTTAGTGGATACGTCACGAATATAGGAAGAGAAAAGAACGGGGGACAGAATCGCTGCCTAGAGCATCTTTGAGTTGACCGGTAGGGAGTCAGCGGCTTTTCAAAAAGAAACTTCGTGCTGTGTTCTATCAGTAAGATAACCTTAGAGAAGAGACAGGGTATTATGAGACAATTCAGCACCTTGGAGTAGAGATAACAACTTCCTTCTGTCAACAAAGTTAAAAGCATCACTATATTCGAGGAAACACTCACGAGATGCTTTGCTGTGCATGTCTAGGGATCGCAAAACTATGCGCATGGGTGTCTGAGGTAGAACATAGTTTTTGATAAGCGAATTGATTGTTATCTAGCTGCCCTGTATTAGGAATTATGTTACTAAGCATACATTTTTCAAACAGTTTTAGTAAAACGGAAGTGCAGGCGACTGGTCGTAATTTCCCGGCTTCTTTTGTTTGGGACTGGTGATGCGCACAAGTCTCCAACAGTGGACAATTATTTTATGATTAATGAGCTTCTTTGTTTGGTGGACTTGGTGAGACAGCAGACGTGGTACTATACAAACAGGCGGATGTTGAACATTGTTAATTGCACGCTTATTCAGGAAGGTGCCTCACAAGCTGATACTAATTTCACGTCCTGACTGCATATCATTTCCCTGTTGTTCAGGTTGTGGCACACTACGAGAGAGCTGTACTATTCCGGCTAGGACGTCTCGTGTCCGCGACTGCTCAAGGTCCGGGACTCATCATTGTCCTTCCCTGTTTGGATCGTTATCGGATACTGGATTTGCGCACATTCACCTTTGATGTACCCACACAGGAAGTACTCACCAAGGATTCGGTCACGGTGGTCGTGAACGCGGTTGTCTACTATCGGGTACGGGATCCGGTCCGAGCGGTGGTCAATGTGGAAGATGCGAATCGTGCAACTCGTGTGTTGGGACAAACCACACTGCGCAATGTGTTAGGTACGGTGAATTTGGATCAGCTACTCACCGCGCGGGAGGATATTGCGGCCTTAATGCAGGTGAGTGGACGCGAAATGATCAGAAAACAAAGTGTGTGTGTGTGTGTGTGTGTGTGAGATGAACTGGAACCAGGCGAATTATTGGACGGTAATATTGTATTAGGCAATAACAAATCCTGCATTGCGTTCAGTGAAGGAACTCTTCAAAAGTCGGAACCAAATGAGGACAAGAGCCGACATCGATTTATTGATTCCGGTAGTTTTTATTTGTCAGTACAAAAACACTTAACTCACAGTTACTTGTGAGTAGTGGTGTAGGACAATTGATTTTTACTGAATTGAACTGGCCATCCTTTGGACTTCACTTTTCGATTGGAGTTAACAGATCATCTTCTGTTGCTGTCGAGCCAAATGAACTGACTATCACTGAAGACGACACCTGAACAAAACATGAATTGGCAATTTGGTTCAGCCATGGTAGCAGCTGGTTGGCACAATGGTAACGCACATGCCTTCTATGCGATGGGTCCGGAGTGGGACGGTAGATATGCACTACTGATGGGCTCCAAGAAGAGCGACACTGGAGTCTAATGCTTCTGAGTGTACGGTGATGAACGGAGGATTGCGTATGAAGGTGAAGTCCGAAGGATGGTCAGTTCAAATTTTAAAAAAATACGATAACAGTTTCAGCAACTGAAGTACATACAGCACTGGGGTGAAGGTTTCCGGTAACAGCGGTAAGCAAAGAATGAGATGAGCACAATTCCATGACCAAGGTGTTCAAAAATATCTACATCAAATTTATTTAAACCGATTGATGTTTCTACGGTTTCACTGAGGCCACTAGACAGTACAAATAAATAAGCGAGCAACATTTGTAGTTGCGAACTTCCCACTCAGGTTACCAAACTAATGCAACATTCCATGTCCACCGAACAGGTAAATGAGCCCGGCTTGTTTTCTCCTACTGTGTTTATTCTCAAACTCACGAAATGAAAATCTAGTGAGTTCACCACTGTACCTTAGAGACCTAACAAAGTTCAAAGTTATTAGTTATGAAACCCCGCTAGTTGGAAGCTTGGTAAATATAGTAATGAGATAATAATCCTAAAGTACCTCAGCCAATTTCAATGTTAACTTCGCATGTTGGGTCAAGTTTCATGTAGATTTGGTGTGGTTAGGGCACAAACATCCGTGCCGATGAACTCTTGGATACCTAACTGTAAGTGGGAGAACGGATAAGGGTAGAGGGTGGGTGTGCATCTTGTTGCAATACCCCGTTTTATACCATATCTGTTCTACCAATACGAGACACTGTTGGTTTGGACGGATCAAAATACAGTCAGTTACAAATATTGAGGTTGATGCATTTGCAAACCCAACCTCGCAGGTATGTGAGCAAAAAACAAGTGATCATTTGCCAATGTTTGAACAGGATTAGGCAGGCTTCTGTATTCAACCTTGTGACCAATTGTAGCTTACTAATTAGGCCATGTTTGAGCCAACATGGCTATCAATGTTTTGTTCTATGAATTGGACTTCTTGTAGTTTCAAAACCACACATTAAGGAACCGTTGTTGGATCCACAGGACAAATAGTCAACGGCGCTTGGTATCAGAAACAAACATTGATTGAATTGCTGCGGATGTATTTGCCGTGCCAAAGTGTCTTTGGCTTCGTCCGAAATTTCTGGCAGCAAAAACCGAGAATCAACCTACTACGGTTAATCAAGGATACTCATCATCATCATCATCATCATCATCATCATCATCATCATCATCATCATCTTCATCATCATCATCATCATCATCATCA